GCTCAAGGTGCATTGATCCCCAGGGGAACGCGTGGATACCGCCAGTCCACGGCGGCATTCAGTGACTCTTTCCTGTCCTCGGGCCCGCCCCCGTTGACAGTTGCTTGTTGCGCCCGTGGCTGAGCAGGTCTCTCAGCCCCACCTGGCAGCGGCACGGGCGAAGGCGCCGCCAGGCTATGTCATCTGCGCGGCGTACCGATACAGGCGGAGTTCCCGCAATAACCCGAACTGCTGGCAGTGCGGGCGTGCCCTTGAGCTGCCCAAGGCCAGTCAGTCACCCCGCGGTGTCTGGAGTGAGGGTGGCTCGCCCAAAGGAGGTGTTCGAAGTGAGCACCGCGGCGGTGAGCTCGCTGGTTTGGGTTGGCACACCGCCTAAGAACGGCAAGGGCAGCGTCGCGCACGGCGGCAACGGCGGGAACACTGGCAACGGTCTTCCCGCTCTCCACGCCCTGTGGGCGTCTGCGTCCAAATCCGAGCTGGCAGCTCTGCTGGCCGTCCCCAGCCCGTCAATCGCGGCCCAGCTCCGCCAGGCGGTCGAGGCTGCCCGCGGCTACTCCCCGCCGCAGGCTGCCCCGCTTCAGCGGTCGTTGGAGCAGTGGCCCCAGTCGGCCACGGACCGCCGCCTCAGCGTCAGCGCCAGCGGGGCGAGGCCGCGGACGCCATGGCGGCGGCGGAGGAGCAGCTCGCAGAATGCCGCGCGTGGCGCGATTCCTGCGCGCTCAACCTCGCCGAGGCGCAGGCCGAGGAAACCGCCATTCTCCGCCGCTGCGCGCAGGCTCCAGGAGCGGGTGCGCCAGCGGAGTCGGCAAGGCACTTCACTTCCAACTTCGACGCGGAGTCCCACGGAAACTTCGCGGAGCTGAAGGGCGAGGCGCAGCATATCCTCAGGAGGACGTGTGCTTAAGGGCGCGAGATCATGCGACCAGCTCAGATGACCCGCATCAGGCTGGAGATCAAGGAGGCGGTCGCCAAGAAACACAAGCGCGACTTGCCCGTGTCGCAGGAGGTGGATGGGCATCCTGAGCAGGAAGCTGCAAGTGGGCGGTCGCCAGCTCCCGCTGCGGTCCCGCACCAGGTGGGTCCAGCCACCGCGGCCGCAATTCCCGCCCTACAGAAGAGCCCGACATCAGGTCACAATTCGTGGGGCTGCGGGGCCAGGTGCGGCCACCTCAGACGCCGCCCGCCAGCGTGCTGCCGCGGCGTCGGCGTCTGCGAGCAGCGGTGGCATTGCGCTGGCTCCTGGCGCTGCTGCATCTGGCCTGCGTCGCGGGTAGTCATGTGCACAGCGCGCGCGCAGCAGCGAGACGGCAGAGGACGCAGACGGCATGAGAGTTGGCCCTCCGGCCGGCGCAGCGCCGACGGCGGGCGCCCTCTGCCTCGCCCGGGGAAATCGAGCAGCCCAGTGGGCCGATGAATGTCCGGGGCTTCTGCGACGGTCTTGGCGCCAGTGATCGCCGTCGCGAGGGCCCAGTCCTGCGCGGGCTGGGACTGGCGGCGCGCATCCGAGCCAGGCGAGAGCACGTGACCGCGGGAGGCCATTTCGCGATGATAAGACAGCAGGAGCGCGCGCGAGGCACCCCGCGCCTTGTGTCGAGACTGGGCGGCCCGCTTCGGGCAGCTTGCTTCGCCGTCGATCCGCCCGGCGCCAAGCCTGCTTCGGTGACGCCCAACGGCTCCGCGCTGGCCGAGACTCAGGCGGCGGTGGCGCACTTGCTGGGCGACCTAACTAGGGGCGACGTGATCTTGGCGCAGGAGGCGTGGCCCCCCGCGAAGATTGCGGAGAGTTCGGCCCGCAGTTGGCGCTTGCGGAACAGCTCCGGCGCCGACTTCAGCCCTTGCCGCAACGCAGGAGCGTCGACGCAGGCGGCGCCCTCGGGCGTCGAGGCACTGGCTTCCAGGCGCCGAGGGGCCACCTTCATTCCCCAAGCTCGGGTGGCCATGTCGTCGCGCACTCTGGCGAAGAGGGTGGTCTTCGGCGACTTGTGCTTGGTGGTCGTCGGTCTCTACCTGAGGCGCTCGGTGCAGCTCGGCGGAGGCGGCGTCGACCTGCTGTCCGACTTGCTGGTCTTTTTGAATTATTTCAATGAGCCGTTCATCGCCGGCGCCGGCTGGGCCATGAAGCCTTGTGCGCTCGAGGGTTCCTGGTGGCCGAAAGCCGTTGGCGGCGTGGTGGTGGCGCTCACTCCCCCAGCCTGTGGCGACCGCGTCTACGATTTGTTCGCGATGCCCTCGGCCCTGGCGGCCCCCCCCCCCCCCCAGGGCGGAAGCGTCGAGGCCTGCGGCGACTCGCCCGGTTTAGATTCGCGGGAGGAGAAGGCCCCCGACGTCTTCTGGCAGGCCCCCCAG